ACTGTTGGTACACTGCTAAATTAACTGGAAACAGAATGATAAAGATCGTTGGGAGATTCTGAAAGACGATGTTAGTTACTTTAAAGTTATTTTGTACTCAGAGTATTATGGAGAGGGTAGTTTTACCTAGATATCATAAAAATGAATGATTGTTAGAAAAACATTAGAAACCTGGCAGCACTGAAGTACGGCCATTTCGTTCTGGTGTGAGACACATCAGCAGTGCTAGCTAATTTGCATCCTAGGGTTGTAGAGAAAGTTACGTTAATTTTCGAAATAAGAAATCGATCAATGTTGGACGAACATTAGAAACCTGGTAGCACTGGAAGACAGACGTTTCATCTTGGTATGGGATTCATCCGCAGTGCCTATCTACAATTCCTGCTACTCGCAGGATTCGAACTGAAGATCTTCAGACTTGCGCGTAAACGCCTAATCAAAACTTCTAACTTAAGGTTAAAGTTAAAGTCACACAGAAACGAGAACGAGAAAATGAACCAGTAACACGATAGGCTACTCTTGTTGGGGATGTTAGATCCCCAAAACTCGCTTGATAAATGCCTGAATTTTAGATTTCACGTTTGCGAGCATGGGCTGATCAGTTGACCTTGAGATTTCATTTCCCAACCAGGAAAATCCTTGGCTGTGATTGGCTGCTGTGTATTTTAGTGTGCTATTTTCGTAACTGTCTCAAGGACATTTCTATGATGTATAAATAAACGAGATTTGTGTGATTGATTGTAATGTGATTGCTGGGTGTTTGTAGAATATCCTTTCTACGCTTACAAAGCTTTTTATCTTCAACTTGGGATTCAAGGTAACCTACCTGGACTCTAGTTCATTGTCTCGTTCCTCGTTTATCGACTAAGGTGAACTCGTAATAGCTTCAAGCGTACCTAGTGACGAATCCTACACAATATTAAACCAACATTAGAAATCTAGTAGCACTCAAAGACAGACGTTTCATCGTGGTATGGTATTCATCCGCAGTGTGTATCTACAATTCCTGCTACTCACAGGATTCGAACCGAAGACTTCCAATCTTGCACGTGAACACTTAATTAACACTTTTAACTTATTTCCAGTTATTTTTTTGAATAATCAATCCTCTGATTGTTACTTTTTCATTTTGCTAACTTACACAAATTTACAGATCGATATATGAGTAATGGTCAACATGTGATTGGAACAAAATGTGATCATTTCATTCAAAGTCCAATTTATGAAGAGAAATTAATCACAGTCGCAATGACTAATCGATCATCAAATCGATTAAAATCTGGTTATTTATTTAGTCCAAATTATCCACAAAATTATCCAGCAAATATGATATGTAATTATTATTTCATTGGTCAATTACATGAACGTGTAATGATTAATTTATTAGATGTAGAATTGAAAAGTTTCATTAAAACAAATAGGTAAGCAGTAGTGTATTTTTTTTCTATTTGTGGTTAATATTTCATGATGAGGAGGTAGTAGTTTTGAGTTGTATGGTGGTGCGAACTACTTATAAGTAGTATATGACGTGAGTGTAAACGTAATGTCTGGCAGGGGGGGGAAGATCAAGAGAAAGGAAGAGTTAGAACACAATGGAATTTGTATGAAACACATGATGAATAGTGACAATGGATTGATGTTGTTTGCAACAGGAACAGTCCAGTTTGATATGACGGACTGATATTTTGCAAATGAACGATTTATGATATGGTTTTCCAATTTTACTGAGTTACTCTGTAATTTGAAATAAATACAATTCGGTTGCCCCGCCTGTGTTATCGTTTACTACAGTATGGGTTATAAAAAGGGGCAGCTAAATATTTATAAACCGACGACCGAGTTGTGAGTAGGCTTTAATAGTGATTGGTTGTCCAAACCGAAGCTGGGGATTTTCTTAGTAGGACATTCAGTGAACGGTTGACCTATAAGTCTAATTCACAAGGCAGCAGGGAAACGTCAGGAGATGCAGTCTCATACGCTGTTTGTTCGGTCAGGCTGGTGGAGACCATGTGCTGCATCGATATGCGACCGAGGTATTACAAATCGCTTAAACGAATGCTTCGTATCTACTAACACGATTTAAGCTGTGGTAGATGTTGGAGACGTTAGATCCCTAGGACTCGCTTGATAAAGGTGCTAATTTTGCATTTTATTCATGGGCTGATCAGTTGACCTTGAGATTACATTTCCCACTCGGAAAAGCCTTGACTGTTATTGGTTGATGTGTTATTTTAGTACGCGATTTTTGTGGCTATCCCAAAGACGTTTCTGTAATATATAAATAAACTCGATTTGTGTGCTTGTGAACTTCATATTTTCTGGGTGCTCGTAGAATACACTTTCTGAGCCATATCAATACTTCTTACTCTACTTATTTGGGTCTTGGGACGCTCGGATAATGAAAGCCTATCATGTCACCGGATCAGTTGTCTTCGCTGGCGTTTACAGACTAGGGTGAACTCGTAATGGTCCAAGCATATCGATTGACAAGCATAACACAACCATTGTTAGATCACAATTAGAAACCTGGAAGCGCTCAAAGACGGCCGTTTCGTCCTGTTATGGGACTCGTCAGTCGTGCATATCCACTACTCTCGCTACTCTCAGGGATCGATCCCAGGACCTACGGTCTTGCACGTGAAAGCCTAACCTCCGGACCGGTGAGCTAGCACCTAACAGTGCTACTGCTAGTGAGTCCCACACTATACTGATACAGCTGTCTCTCAGTGCTTCCAGGTTTCCGATGGCGGTCTATCAATGATTACCTCATGATTTCGATAACAAATATAAACTTTATTATAAGAGAACAACCAAATTTCACAAGTTTCTCCTTAATCACATGACATTTTGCTACTGTTTGTTATTCAAAAAAGTCTTCCTATGAAAATTCCACTTCTTGCACTACTTTTTAGTAAAACTCAACTTCCACCAACTGGTGACTATTTACAAATATCTGAAGCCGAACACATTTTATTATCACGTGATACTAGTCTGAGTGACACAGTCTCTTCCTCCACTTCCCCGTCATCATCATCATCATCATCATCATCATCATCATCAACATTGACTTCTCCACTATTGCATCATTCGCCACATTCACAAATTCTTCAATCCACTGAACTTATTCAATATATTTATGGTCATTTGACAAATGATGTACAAATTATTTCTACAGGTCCATATATGCTCATCACATTTATCAGTAATAATGATACAAATCAATCCAGAGGATTTGAAGCAAAATATTATTTTGTACATAGAAATCAAGTGAAGCCAACAATTAAAACGAATCATTTTGGTAATAATAATAATAATAATAATAATAATCATGACAGTCGTAATGATAACAAGAGGAAAATCAATAAATTCTCATTGCATCAACGACCTGTTCATCATCATGAACATGCTTCATCTGCACCGATCGATATTATTTCTTCTGATGTAGGTATGTTTATCTTGTTGATTGTTTATGTGTAGTGTGAATCGATAAAATGCTTTGCTTTTATGATTTGATTTTATGATTTGTTCGAACAAATGGTAATCAGTATAAGTTTTGTGGTAGAGTTTTGGAGGTTTGCGTTTTTACACATTTGAAATCATCAATCAATCATTGTTAGACCACCATTAGAAACTTGGAAGCACTGGAAGACGGCCGTTTCTTCCTGGTATGGGACTCATCAGCAGTGCGCATCCACGACTCCTGCTCCTCGCAGGATTTCAACCCGGGACCTTCGGCATTGTAGGTGAACGCCTTGCCATCGGACCGCACTGCTGATGCGTCCCACACGAGGACGAAACGGCCGTCTTCCAGTGCTTCCAGGTTTCTAATGGTGGTCTAACAATGATTGATTGATGATTTCAAACCAGTATAAGAATAATTAAATATTTCAGTAGAGAGTAATGTACTTCTTTCTGGTTACGAGGTTGGAATTCGTCAGCAGTTGATTTCAATGTACGCTAAGAGTAATATGAACAGATTCTGAAATTGAATGACGATTCAAAAACAATCATATCATTCATTGTAGAGTTGTGGAAGTAGTTTGAGTTTCATTCAAATCACGGATTGATCAACGTTAAATGATCATTAGAAACCTGGAAGTACTGGATTATTGTTCTCGCCTAGAACGTAACTCATCAGCGGCGAGTATATAAGACCCCGCAAACAGGAATAGAAACTGGAACCCATGGTCTCACGCGTGAACCCCTGACCTCTTGATTACTGGTGTTGATGTCTGACTTCATCCAATCTACAATATTATGCGATCATTATCGATTGTCTTCACAGAGTTAGTGCCTTACATCTAACACGGTTGAATATACTGTTCACGACCTCTCATCAGTATTCTGAGAATTCCCTCAAGAAGTTATTCACTAGTGAACATATGATAAGTGTCATTATAAAGTTGTAGAGATTGTTGAATTTCATTGCAAATTCATTGATATGCACTGCTGATGAGTCCTCATACTATAGACCGAAACGGCTGTCTTTCAGTAATTCCAGGTTTCTAATGGTGGTTTAACATTGATCGATCTATGATTACAGTATAATTAATAACTAGGAATTTGATTATTTTGTGTATGCGAATGAATATGCCGATGATATAGTCCTACTTGGTGAAGACGTTGACAAAATGCAGAGTCTTCTGACTACCCTAATCAACAATCCAAGCATGCTCGGGATGTGGTTTCACCCCTCGAAATTCAAAATGTTGCTTCAAGATTTGGTTGCATCAACACCTGAACTTGTGATAGGAAGGTGAAGTGATCGAGCGTATAGATCGCTTCACTTATCTTACGAGTCTTATCAGTGCTGATGGTTTGGTGACTGACAAAATATCAGCACGAATACAGAAGGCTCAACTGGCGTTTGCCAACTTACGTCACTTATGGCTTAGATGAGATATCCGTCTACAAATCAAAGGCAAGTCTACTGCGCAGTAGTTCGCTCCGTCCTACTTTACGGATATGAAACATGATCAGTTAGAGCAGATATTAGTAGTTTACTGGTTTTTGATCACAGATGTATTTGGAGTAAGCAATGCTCGTGTTAGAAAACGAGTACTATGTAAGGATGGCAGGTCAATAGATAATGTATTGAAACTTCATCAGTTGAGATGGTTAGGACATGTGTTACGACTGCCTCGTAGAGCTGTTTTATGATGTAAGAATAGGTTGGAAGAAAGCTAGGACCAGTCAAACTGAAAAATGGCATGAATCCATAATGTCACTGACAAGCGGACTAAGTCATGTTGCTAGTAATCGATGGTTAGAGACCTTGAATGACATAGCTCAAAACCATTTGCAGTGGCGCAGGTGAATCCACTCTTTGTGTTCTTTCAAATCCGAAACCTTCTGAATTCTTCATCACCTTTATCATTTTCTGTTTAAGTTTACTTTGCAGCAATTCTCTCTGTCCAACTATACGAATGCGAAACATGGCCGGTGAGAGTAGAGGACATTCGTGTAATGCTTGTCTTCGAAGCATTGCTCGTATATCCTGAGACAAACGAGTAGGCATTGCTGATGTTAGGAAGCGGGTGGTAGGTAAGGATGGCAAGTCAATAGATGAAGTAAACATCAGTTGAGGTGGTTGGGACATTTGTTGCGTATGCCCAACCACCGACTGCTTCGACGAGTAGGTTGGAAGAAAGTTGGGGGCGGCCAAACCAAAACATGGCAGAAATCCATGAAGTCACTGACAAGTCAACTGAGCTATGTGGGTAGGTGTAGGCTATCTGGTTGCTGTCCACGAGACGAAAGTCACCGATGGTTAGAGACCCTGAATGACATGACTTAAAACCGTTTGCAATGGCGCAGATGCATTAACTCATTGTGTTCTCTCGAATCCTAAACGTTTTCTTCTTAAGTTTACTTCACTAGATTCTACTTGTTGAATAATATCTTCAAACCCTAATCTTTCCGATTACTTCTAATACTTCCACTATCTCTACTACTATAGGATTTGAATTGACAATTACATCTCTATGTGCTAATTAGGTAATGGCAACTTGTACTAGTGTACGTACGTACGTACGTACGAAGTTCTACGTCGCTGTTGATTAACGTATTTATTGATTCGCGAATAAACGATTTCGCTCAAATTCAACTTAAATTGAAAAGAAAAATACTCATCTTATTCTAACATAAAGTTTCTTTACTCTTAGAGATAACTTTTTTTCTGTAAAGAACGAAAATAATTTAGTGCAGAGAATTTTTTCTTTTAGTCAAGTTGTTAAATCATATTTAATAATTAAATTTTTTTTGATTAAAAGATAAGAGAAAGATTGTATATTGTACTTTATGTCAAAAAAACTGTCTAATCATTGAACATTGAAGAGAGATAGAGAGAGAGATAAAAAGATAAAATACACTGTTATAGAAGATACTACTTGTTCACTTGACAAGCAGGATCAGATGATGGTGTGTAAAGTAGAAAATTATTATATCATGCACGTGTCTCTGTTGTACACAGAGAGAGATTAGGTTTGAAGTGATGGATTGCGAATACTTTATTGATTTGTGCTGCTTTCAAACCAGATTGTCTGAGAGTATAATGGATTTTTTTAAGGATTGTCAGATTGTTCTGCGGCCAGAGATGCGTTTGGGAGGTATTTGCTTTAAGTGGTCTATGTAACGTGCTTCACAAAAGCAAGCGAACTGATAATGTCACGCTTATATGGCCTAATGAGATAGTTTGTCTTTGATACGTCAATGAATCATAGAACAGCTGGAGAGAACGATGTGAAGTTCAGCGGTTTGGAAAGTTTTATTTAAAGGATTTTGCAAGAAGATTCTTCAAAATATCTGCAGCTATATCTCTCTTGAACTGAATATTGATGAATAAGATCTGTTTAGTGACTGTATAAAGCATTGTAAATTGTTGTTATGCTCGTCATTAGGTATGCTTGAAACTATTACGGGTTCACCTTAGTCGATAAAGGAGAACGAGACAATAAACCAGCGTCCAGGTAGGCCAGTGTGATCCATTGACTCAAAGGCACGAACGTGAAGTCTTGATAAAGCGTAGAAAGTATATTCTACAAACACCCAACAAGCATACAATGAATCTAAGCACTCGAATTGTGTTTATTTATACACCATAGAGACGTCCTTGGAACAGTCACAAAAATAGCACACTAAAATAACACAGTAACCAATCACACGCAGCCAAGGATTTCCCTTGTGGTAAATGTGATCTCAAGGTCAACTGATCAGCCAATGAATAAAATTCAAAACTAAACCATTTATCAAGCGAGTTCTGGGGATTTAACTTCCCCCAATAATCGTAACCTAGTTTTCATGTTACGCTCAATAAACCACGATGACAGCCATTTTATTTTCAAATATTCATTAAAGATAGCTAATATTTTTCATCGATAAATTTTCATGATCCATGGATATATTTTACTAAAAGAATTAACTACTTTTATATACGCCTTACTGACATCTAGTGAAGCATTGACCAGCATTCTCCAACCTACTCTGTCCTCGGCCTTCTTTTCCAGTTCTGTCAAATTGTTCTTCATTCTTCACGGGTTTGTCACCATTTGTCAGCGTGATATGCTTTTTGGCCTTCCTCTTTTCCTTTGGCCTTGAGGATTTCAAGAGAGAGCTTGTCTTGTAACGCACTTAGGTGCTTTCCTCAATGTGTGTTCTATTCACCAACTTCAGCGCTTATTCCTGAATTATTCCTCCGCTGGAATCTGATTTGCTCTCTCCCACAGTAGATTGCCAATGATGGTGTCTGGCTAACGGCTCTAAAGTATTTTTCATAGACAACTGTTCATAAACACTTGGATCTTCGGAATGATAGCTTTTGTGGTTCTCCACGTTTCTGTCCCATACAGTAACACTGTCTCGACATTTGTATTGTCGTTGGTTGATTATTACTCATGCTAAAAGAAACGGGACAGACTTGTTGTTACGTGTAACGGTTACCTTGTATATACATATTTATTAATATTTATACATTTCAGCAATTAACAAGACATTCTCAAATCACCAGTCCCACCACGTACGACAAACCATTATCCAATGGAATCAACATCCCAACAATGGATTCATCTATTCACCAGCTTATCCAAACATGTATCCAACAAATCAAATTCATGAGTATATTTTGAATGCTTCACCTAAAGGACGCATACAAATCAGTATTGAAACATTCCAACTAGATGAACAAACAACATTTAGGTAAGTTTAGATTGAAAATGATATACATTTGGTCGAATCAACAAGTAATTCAAATCGAAATGTAGTTGAGTGTGATGATTATTTTATTTCAAACTATTCTTATTGATAGTGAAGCTCATTCACTGTTATAATTGTCACTAGGTATGCTTAAAGCTGTTACAGGTTCACCTTAGTCGATAAACGCGAATGAGACAATGAACCAGTGCCCAGGTCGGCTACCTTGATCGGAAACAGCTAAAGAGAAGTCTTCATAAGCGTAGAAAGTATATTCTACAAACACCCAGCAAGCACAATGCAATCAAGAACACAAATCCGGTTTATTTATACATCATAGAAACGTCATTGGGACAGTCACGAAAATAGCACACTAAAATACACAGCAACCAATCACAGTCAAGAATCTCCCTGTGTGGGAACTGTGTTCTCAAGGTCAAGTGATCAGCTCATGCTCGGAAACATAAGATCCAAAATTAAGGCATTTATCAAGCGAATTCTTGTGATCGAACGTCCCCAACATCATCTACATAACTTTAAACCAGTGTCTGTGGCAAGTTCTGAGCTAATTCATCAAACTTGGAAATCTTTCACTTCTCAGTATAATCATTGGTAACTTGCCTGGCTAATGTCAACTTCTGATCTGGATACGCCTAATCGTTTTCGACTAACTACCTAAAAATAAGACCTCAATTTCATCAACCGTTTTAAAATTTCTTCTTCATTGAATAATATACTCGTACTTTGTGTTGATATAAGTTTGAAGCTTAGATATTCATTACGTAAAAGGACATAAATCAGGATTGTACAAAAATCTCAACATTACATAGATGACTAAAATAGGTTATCGAATATAAGAATGTCTACTTTACATGAAATGATTTATACCATCGCTTACGAAACAATGCAGTCCAATGGTAATAAAATAAAACTCCACCTGGAGCCGTTCCAAGGTTACTGCTGGTCCCAAACCTGGATAAAGGAGGAGGGTTAGGCATGGGGTTAGCGATCCCATCCCGTAGAAATCCAACTCGCTATTAAAAAAACGCTAACCAGGTGGCCTATGCTCCCTCCATTAGGAGTAACAGGCGTAAGTAAGTAAGTAAGTAAGTAAGTAAGTAAGTAAGTAAGTAAGTAAGTAAGTAAGTAAGTAAGTAAGTAAGTAAGTAAGTAAGTAAGTAAGTAAGTAAGTAAGTAAGTAAGTAAGTAAGTAAGTAAGTAAGTAAGTAAGTAAGTAAGTAAGTAAGTAAGTAAGTAAGTAAGTAAGTAAGTAAGTAAGTAAGTAAGTAAGTAAGTAAGTAAGTAAGTAAGTAAGTAAGTAAGTAAGTAAGTAAGTAAGTAAGTAAGTAAGTAAGTAAGTAAGTAAGTAAGTAAGTAAGTAAGTAAGTAAGTAAGTAAGTAAGTAAGTAAGTAAGTAAGTAAGTAAGTAAGTAAGTAAGTAAGTAAGTAAGTAAGTAAGTAAGTAAGTAAGTAAGTAAGTAAGTAAGTAAGTAAGTAAGTAAGTAAGTAAGTAAGTAAGTAAGTAAGTAAGTAAGTAAGTAAGTAAGTAAGTAAGTAAGTAAGTAAGTAAGTAAGTAAGTAAGTAAGTAAGTAAGTAAGTAAGTAAGTAAGTAAGTAAGTAAGTAAGTAAGTAAGTAAGTAAGTAAGTAAGTAAGTAAGTAAGTAAGTAAGTAAGTAAGTAAGTAAGTAAGTAAGTAAGTAAGTAAGTAAGTAAGTAAGTAAGTAAGTAAGTAAGTAAGTAAGTAAGTAAGTAAGTAAGTAAGTAAGTAAGTAAGTAAGTAAGTAAGTAAGTAAGTAAGTAAGTAAGTAAGTAAGTAAGTTATTGAAAGAATAAAGCATCAGTCATTGTAAACTTTTCCAATAACTCACTTTCTCTAAAATATCTCTTCATATAATATTTAAAATAACGTTTTTTCTACTGAGTACAAACTCATTTCAAGAAATACTAGTTTGTCCGACTGACAAAATTCATCCTACAACTATAGTCGATAAAGTTATTTAGGAAAAAATAAACTTGTATCATATTCAATATCCAATGAAGAAAGTTCACTCACTCACTATTATAATCCTATATCATGTTTGTTACAGTGAAATTTTTGTTTTCTTTTCTCTTATCTAACAATGATCAAAATCTTTCTTGTCATTGAGAAATTCAACTATTGACAATTGTTTTATGTTTAACAAAGTTAAAAAATAGAAACAAGTTTCTTTTTCACACTAAAAAACACATTGAAACGTTGAATTGAAATAGACAATTTTAACGATAGAAAAAGGAAGAAATATACTGGAATATCATGCAATTTTCGCGCGTTTTTTTTTTGGTTCATTTTGAAATGGACGAAGCAACACATTGATCCAATTGATTCGCGTTAAACGAAACAGTTTAATATTCAGAAAAAAGAAATAAAAGGCGATGAATCTTTCTTTGCCTTGTACTTCTCTCATAGTCGAACGTCACTATTGATTCGTTTATTCGTTTCGCCTCTTAACCCTAGTGGAGCGCATAGGCCACCGATCAGTCAGTCAGTTGCAACGTAGAACTTCGTACGTGTGTACATAAGTTTATGTTGCCATACCAAATGAGCACAGAGACGCAAATGTTAAATAAAATCCCATAGTGATAAAGATAGTACAGGTATTGATGGTAATGAAGAAGACTAGGGTTTGAAGATATTATTCAAGAAGTATAATTCAGTGAGATAAGGTTAAAAAGACAAAGGTAGAGGTGCTGACGAATCCAGAAGATTAGGATTTGAGAGAGCTCAAAGAATGGATGCACTTGCGCCATTACAAACGATTTTGAGCCATCTAGTTCAAGGTCTATAACCATTGGTGACTTTCGTCTCGCGGACCCCAACCAGGTAGTCTACATCTACCAACATGACTCAGTCCACTAGTCAGTGACTTCATGGATTTCTGCCATGTTTTGATTTGGCCGCCCCTAGCATTCTTCCAACCTACTCCTACACCATAGAACATAGCTCGTCGAGGCAGTCGGTGGTTAGCTATACGCATCACATGTCCCAACCACCTCAACTGATGAAGTTTCAATACTTCATCTATTGATTTGCCATCCTTACCTAGTACCCGTTCCCTAACAACACCATTGCTTACTCGGTTATCCCACGATATACGAGCAATCCTTCTTAAACATCTATGATCGAATACTAGAAACCTACGAACATCTTCTAATCATAACGGCCATGTTTCACAGCCACATAGGAGAACGGAACGAACTGATGCGCAGTACACCCGTCCTTTGCGTCCTTAGCGAACGGATATCACGCCTACGCCATAAATGACGCAGGTTGGCACCAATCAGCATTCTCCAACCTACTCTGTCCAAAGCCTTCCTTTCTAGCTCTGTACAATCATACATACAAATACAAAACGATCTATTGAATGAGAAAATTCAATTCTAATGAGCTTCATCTCAACACTGTACGATTGAATATTGAACATCTCATAAATTGTACGTCATTGAATAATTAAATGAATACTAACCTAATGGTGATGTGTTAGATAACTGGCGAAAAATATATAAATTTATAAGAGATTTAAAGAATAATTAACATGGTAATGAAAAGATGCGAATGATTGAATGAATATGCATCGGAGTCATGGCCTCATCGATATCTTTGCAAAACCTGAACAAAATGGCGAATTTAATCTTCCTAGCCTGAACTTTCTGTTTTCCAATTTCGGTTCAGCATTCAGATGACCACAAATGTCATTGTCTAAGGTGCTCAGAATATAAAGTTTATTAGATCAAAAAAATTCAGACGTAATGCATTTTAGAAATGCAATGGAAAAAATCACGACAGCAATAGTTGGATGCTAAAGTAGGTATAAGTAGGCAAAAACAGACTATTTATACTGTTATGCCTGCACGTAAACATGTCAACTTGATATACTTGAACTATTACGAGTTTACCCCTTAGTCGGAAAACGAGAGCGAGGATCCGGCGACATCACATGCTACTCTAATCCGATTATTCCAACCCCCATATTGAGTAAAAATAAAAAGACTTGATATGAAGTAGAACCTGTATTCTACAAGCATCTAGAAAGTACGAGGTCCGAGTCCAGAAGAGGACCAGGGCCTCAGACTAGAGATCCTGGACCGGGTCCTGGTCATAGAACGTTACACATAATGCGTATTTATACATTTTGGTCGAATAGGAAACAGCATCGAAGTCTGTGACATTGACAGTTAAGACGACTAATAGGAAGCAACATTTGAAGTGACATTGATAGTCAGGACAACCAATAATAAACAACATTGGAGCACGTAACATTGACATCTAGGACGACCATAAAATTGACCAGTAGGAATTAACCAATAATTCTCTTAGGATATTGGATGAATACTCTAACATATACACATTGAAATCATGAATGAATCATTGTTAGACCAGCATTAGAAAGCTGGAAGCATTGAAAGACGCCCGTTTAGTACTAATATGAGGCTCATCAGCAGTACGCACTCACAACTCGTGCTACTAGCTGGATTCCTACCCATGACAATGAATCTTGTGCGCGAACGCCTCATTTCTGAGCCACTAGTGAGCACTTTTTTAATCTTTTGACAACTAAACAAATATTTTTTTTTACTAAGAAATCATTCAAATCAATCAATGTTAAATCCTATTAAAATTCAATCATTTATTTTCAATATTCAATTTTTTCTATTTGTTTTACTAAGCTGTAGGTCACATACTGGTGATAAATTAGAAATCTATTCACATATAAATCAAACCATCAATCCATGGATTGTATTATGTGGTGTACAAATATCAATAAAATATAAGTTGATTGAATCTTTAACTAATTACCTTTTACTCCGTTTCATATCAGACAATATTAGATCAAGTAGAGAGAAAGGTTTTCAGCTGTATTATAGATTTATCAATGATCAGAGGAATTATTCACATTTCACTAGTTCGAATATGACTAACAAACACCGAAATAATTATTCTAAACATCAAGAGTTTGTGCAATTGGATCCGAACCTAATGGATGAGCGTCAGTATGAATTTGTTCAACATTTCAATGGCGCCATTGATGTGATGAATAAAACTAATGAAGATCAACAGATTAATAATGATCATGTGTTAAACAATAAAATATTAATAGGTCATTCAAACAAACCAGCTGAATCGAAGTTTGGCGTTCGTAAAGAAACAGTATTGGACACTGAACAAAGTGAGATTTTGTTTTTTTCTATGTGTGTGTGTTTTTTGACACTTGAGCGCCCTTTTTGTTTAAATATTAGATAAACAAATTCGATGCAACTAGATAATATTGTAACTCACAATAAAAAGTTCCTGTCAACAGTGAAATAAAAAGGTATGAAATAACAGTTACTTAAAAGAACCAGAACACACATTGTAGTTAACACTTATGCACATATATATATATATATATCTTTTTGAAGAAATTCTCATAGTTCTAGTGAGAAGATGTGACAAGTTGGAGTTCATCTCTGTCCGATGTAGGGCAGTTATCCAAGGAAGACAATGGGTGAGGTTGTCCAATACCTTGGATTGATTGAAGTTAGACATAAACACCGCTGGATCCCAACTCAGTGCTCCTCTAAAGCTTAACTGTTCGCGCGTGAGATCAAGGCTTCAAGATTCTCTTTCGGTTTGCAGGCTCATGGATATGCAAAGCTGATAAGTCCTATACCAGGACGAAACGGCTGTTTTTTAGTGCTTCTAGGTTTCTAATGATGGTTTAACAATGGATTCGATTTTGACCAATTTCGTCTCGTGTACTGGTATGGGTATGAGGGCGATTGTCACTTCCTGGCTGCCCAAACCATGGAAGGTTGTTTCTTGAGGGACCTGAAAAGGAAGATAGATTAGTGTTAGTCTTAGAGACCTGAGAGCGTGACCGCAGAGCCGCAAGGGACAACTGATTGAGGCTGGTTACGCACGGCCTTTTTATGAAGGGTTTTTTGAGTATTAGTTCCGTTCTTAAAGGCCCTTAGTGAGCACCCTTACCCAGGGAGACGGAAATCCGTGAGGTAGGATGAGGTGTGACATTTTTTGGGTCGACCTTTCTAACCCTTCCTTCCCTGCAAGAAGGCAGCATCGCTGCAGATGCTGGTTGTCCGAGGGAAACACCTTACTGCTGTCATACCCCTCTGCAGTCAGCAGTACGACTCTTTAAGTTCTATGAAATTCTAAGCTTCTGCATTCTTCATAATCTCTACCTATCTCCTTCTAAATTTATCTTACTAAATTATACTTCTCGAATCAAATCGTTGCTCCCTAATCTTCTCCATACTGCTAATACTTCTACTATATCTACCACTATGGGATTTGAACTGACAGTTACGTCTCTGTGCTGATGGGGCATGGCAACCTGAACTGATGTACTTATGTATGAAGTTCTGCGTTGTATCTGTCTGTCTCTCTTAAAAAAGATTTCATTCCTAGTTTCAGTGAAGAATAAATTAATGTCGCCACGAATAAATTAGATATTAATTGACAGAATTACAAAATTTTTTTGGCAACAGTCAATTTGAATGCATGAAATAAGACGGCTACTTAAAACATTAAAATTTCAGTACGACAACATGCATTGTAGCTGAGACTTATGCATATTTACATATACTTAAATTGTAATTGGTAAAGATTACATATGGTTATCCAATCACTGAATTTGTCTTAATATCATATCGTACATTCACATCTAAAATCAGACATAGTTTGATGTTGTTGTAATTACTGGGCTGGATGATTCGGTGACGACGTTTCAATTGTCAATTTTGATGACATTATCACTGCTTACTTTAGGGAATGTTGAAGTTTAACAGTTTTCTTATTCAACAAGTCATCAGTATAGGATTGTAGAGATAGTTGGACCTAACTAAAATCAAGGATTGATCAAAGGTTTGATTAGCATTAAAAACTTGGAAACACTAGACAGTTGTTTCGTCCAAGTATGCGATTCATAGGCAGTCTGCGTTCACGACGTTGCATGCGATAATCAAAATGTTACGTATGCACATAAACACGTTATTTGATATGCTTGAACTATTACGAGTTTACCTTAGTTGGAAAACTAGAGCTAGGATCCGGCGACGCGACAGGCAACTCAAATCCGATTATCCCAAACCCCCATTAACTCAAAGAAGAAGACTTGATATGAAGTAGATCATGTATTCTACAAGCATCCAGAAAATACGAGGTCCGAGTTCAGAAGAGAATAAAGATCCCGGTCTAAGGATTCGGGTCGAAGTCATAAAACGTTACAGATAATGCGTCTCTATACAGTTAGGTTGAATAGGAAACAACAATGAAGCATGTGATATTGATAGTTAGGATGATCAATAGTAATTGACCAATAGAATCAGACTTACAAACAATTATCTTAGGATATTGGATGAATATCCTAACACAAAACACAAGACCTTCGTGATTTTAGTGAACCTAACAGTCTGTACAACCATATAATGACAGTACTGGTATCGTTCAGAACTCCTGATAGTAGAAGAGGATTGTCTGAATAAGAATGATGAATCCTAAACAAAGTTAACCTAGTTCTAACATCTTCCTTCCATGAACTAAAACTGTTAACAGAAATATGATAAGAATTATTCTCCACGAATTCATTCATTCAACTAACCAGAATTATACTTTAGACAAAACTATAAATTTCAGTTTCCTGTTAATTTGATTGGTCAATTAGCATTCATTAGTGAAATGTCAATCACAGACATTTGGTTTTAAATTTTTCAATGATTACAAAAAGAAAGTATCTAATTGTAGTGGTTAATTGCTCATTACTCTTCAATTCTCATTATATGAAACTAAAAAAATGATTCTACATTTTTAAAAGTGAATTTTTAAAACATGTTCATTACTTTTCTGGTGGCCTGCTTGAATATCTAGGCGACGTGTTTTTCTAATATCTAGATATTTGAACGACTAACCTCCTTTCGCTTGTTTTAACACGTTGATTAGGCTGCAGTGTGTATCTATTTTATGTCGAACCCACAGGGCTTGTCCCAAGTATTTGGACTGATTAATTAATCCATTGCACCCCAGTTACTCTTCACTTGTCGTTTGACCTTTGCCAGTCATTCGCTCATCATAACCTTGGTTGTTTTTTGCTTATGTGTCTATGTGCCACTTATGTTACGTTCGTCACTACGTACTCTTGAAGCTATTACGAGTTAACCAGCGTTTAGATAGGCTACCTTGAATCCCAATTGCAAAAACGGAAGTATTAGTGAGCGTAGAAAGTATATTCTACAAACACCCAGCAATCACAATACATTCAAGCATACAACTCTCGTTTATTTATCCATCGTAGAAACGTCCTTGGAACAGTTACAAAAATAGCAACCTAAAATACACAGCAATCAATCACAGCCATGGATTTTCCTGGTTGGGAAATGAAATCTCAAGGTCAACTGATCAGCTCATGCTGGCAAACGTGAAATCTAAAATTAAGGCCTTGATCAAGCGAGTCCTGGGGATCTAATATCCCCAACAACTTACTACGTTTATCACATGTCTGACTTATTTTATCTGACTATAAATACTGAGTCACGCTTTATCTCATGGAGTCGACTCTCCTGTCTTCTTTACTTTGTTTCGCATTGTTTTCAAGCTGTATATTCTCCTGTCTGTCTGCATGAATTATTGTATGAAATAAACTCATCCAAACGAATCCATATTCGACTTCTAAGTACTGCTGTCGAACAGACGGGCTTCTCCTAATTATTATATACGGAAGCTGAAGGGGCAGACTTACTTCACAACACACTTGAACGTTCAAAAATGAAAGAATCAGCCCACAGACCACTAAAATGGTGAGCCTTACTTCAAAATGAATGCAGCCATCTCCGTCAAAGGCCATTATTCACCAAATCTATTCTGTCACATATGTAAAAAATTGTTGACGATCTATCGGTTTAAAAGGTACAAACAATGTACAGTCCCAGAAATCCCGGTGACTGGCTATCTACCGAGAAAAGAATCAACTTCCATGATGATATATCGCATTCGTAAACTGCTCACTTCCAACTAACGATCACTAATTACTTTTTAAAGAAAACTAGTTGTGATATTCCTCTGTTAAGAATAATATGTAGTAAATACATTAGTATTATGATTAATATTTTGGTAATTTCTTTTAAATATTTTAATTTCTAGAAAAATGTTCATATCTAATTGAAAGCAACGATCAAATTGACTTTTCAACTTTTCAACATCTTCACATAAAAGATATGTTATTAAAAAATTATCAAACAGTTTATCAGTCAAATAAATATCAACAAGATAGAATTCTTTGTGAATGGATATTCATTGGTAAACCATATCAACGTGTTCAAGTTCGTTTAGTCTCTAAAACCTCCTCCACTTTGAGAGATGATGATGATGATGATGATGATGATGACAGTAGTAGTAATAATGACAATAATAATAATAATAATAAAGAGAAGATGAATGGGGCATCGCCAAATTTGTCAACTCAAAGCACAATACCGAATCAATCAGATCCAATGAATTCCAACAGTATCGATTCTAAAACTTCGCCAATTTTTAATGGACTCAATATCAGGTACTTCTTATTATTGTTATACATAAATTTACTTATCTGAAACATACACCTCGTCATACTGCGTACGATTCGTAGTTTAGGCGTAGGATCATACATACATTGGGGCACAGTTTTGGAGGTTTGCGTTTTTACACATTTGAAATCATTAATCAATCATCATTGTTAGACCACCATTAGGAGCCTGGAAGCACTGGACGGCCGTTTCGACATTAACACCGTTGGATGCCGGCCCAGTGGTCCGGTGGTTAGGCGTTCGCCTACAATGCCAAAGGTCCCGGGTTCGAATCCTGCGAGGAGCAGGAGTCGTGGATGCGCACTGCTGAGGAGTCCCATACTAGGACGAAACGGCCGTCCGGTGCTTCCAGGTTTCTAATGGTGGTCTAACAATGATTGATTAATGATTTCAAATCATACATACAGTTTGTTCTTCGACATGGTTTACTCGATATTCTGATATCATATTTCTGTACCACACTAATATTATATTCTTGGTTAACCATCATGCCTGCTGCATATGCACACCACTGCGTTTTAAGCAGCATAAGGATTCTCAAAAGAGCCAATTTCGCGATCACCCCTGCCCCATACGGGAATGCACATGTTGTTTAGATTGGCTTGCAAACAAGTCGGACGTCCCAAAAGCACGCTCACGAGCAGTGGCCCTCGTTCGGGCACTTATGAATCAACTCGATCCCTACAACCAATCCACTACCCACAATCCCCAATCTCCAAGGGCGGCAAGGCGGGCTTTTCCAGCTAGGCTTGGCGCCCGAACGGATTACCGAGCCACCTTGCAGTACACTAACCAGCAGCCTTTTTAATTGTCTGGCCTCCAACTGCCTTGCGCTGATACAATTGATCGGGGCCCCCAAACCCCACATGAAGCTAAAGATCGAGTTTGTTCCACAAGGTCAGATGGAACGTACACCCTTCCATTGGTAGGTGTCATGAACTGGACCAAGCGCAAGCACTTAGCCAAGCAGAGTTTAATCCCACTACATAAGTGGGCAGACATCATTTAAGACCATGTATCTTTTCAGCACAGGATCCCATAAGCTGACTGGAGAGGGGCCTCGACGCCAGTTGACACACTTCACCGAGATGCAAAGTGTTTGGGACAACCACATAGGGTTGGCGTAAATAGTCCAGGATCTTTACGGCTGCTTCCCCAAACAAATCGTCTAGGGCCGCCTTCAAGGAAGTTGGAAAGCTATATCCCGTTCAAGGTATTTGTGGCAACGGGAATGATAGGGGACAAGTCCTCAAACCATTATTTCAAATTTACCTACGCTCAGTGGACTCGATTCAGACTTAAAATTATTCGATCCTAATCCCCTAGAGTTTCTAACCGCATCCACGACCTTGCGATCATGAACACGTGCCACTATTCTGGGCCATACTAGGCACAGTATCCTTAACGTTCGGAACAGCTTTTATCCGCAGCGCTGTAAACAACGCCACATTGCCTTGCGGGACCACGAAAAGGTAGCCGCCACCACAACCCCCAGAAGGCTCCATTTATGCGCGTCACCTAATATGCCCATTCAATTAGATGACGAGACATTTGGCTACCTTAAGAGAGTCATAGATACTCCTACCTAACACTTAAGCCTGTTACCCCATTAGGGCATAGGTCGCTGACCAAGATTCTCCAACCTATTTTGTCCTAAACCTTCCTTTCTATTTAGGTCCAATTGGTATTCATTCTTTTCATATCTTTCTCCACATCTCGGCATAATGTGTTGCATGAGGTCTCAGAAAATCTCTAGACTGATCAAAGTTAGACGTTAATACCATCGGATGCCAGCCCAGTGGTCCAGAGGTAAGGCGTTCGTGCGCAAGTATCAAGATCCTCGGTTCGTATCCTTCGAGGTGCAAGAGTCGTGGATGCTCACTGACGAGACGGCCTTCTTTCAGTGCTTCCAAGTTTCTAATGGTGATCTAAAAATGACTGATTGAAGACTTCAGTGTATAAACACACTAATCTCCATAACTCTAAGTTAAGAAAAAGAATTCTTAATTGTTGAATAAACTACCAGTAGTATAGTCACATTTGAAATTATCAGCCAATCATTGTTAAAACACCATTAGAAACCTGGAAGCACTGGACAGCCATTAAGTCCTGGTATGGGACTCATCAGCAGTGCTCATCCACGACTCCTTCTTCTCACAGGATTCGAAACCGGGACCTTTGGCAGTGTGCGCGAACGCCTAACCTCTGGACCACTGGACCGGCATCCAACGGTGTAAATGTGTAACTCTGATTGATCTAGGACCTTACATATTTGTCTTTAGTAGTCTACCAATGATTGATTGATGATTTCAAATATGTAAAAACACTAATCTCCATAACTGTAATTGAAAATATAGTAGTATAATCGCCAAGCAAATCAGTTTACGATTCAACGTGACTACCAGTCAGTGGTGACTGTCACATTCTCCCTTTTACTGAAAACGTTTATTAAACTCAAATGAATTCGTGACGTATATTTACTTATTTCTCTCACAAATGGTATATATAAACTCAGTGTTATATATATATATATACTTGCTTCCATTCACAGATGTAATACAAATTACTTACTCAAACTTATAAATTATCGATTAAAATCCACTTCTTCCAACCTTCAACCATTATCTAAAGATTTCTTATTATCAACGAATCATTACAATCCTACCAAAAACACAGATCTCAGCAACAACACAAATCTACTTCATGAACACTTATTGAATCCAATCAAATATAAATCATTCTATACATCAGAACAACAAGTCACGATTTGTTTAAGTTCACCATTGAGGATCGATTTAAATAGTGCGGTTTATATGTCCGGTTTTGTTCCACGTTTAAAAATTTTACTCATCAAAACAAATCATTCCATTATTGATCATCAGAATAGAAACTTGAACGCCACAACATCTTTATTCTCCTCATCATCATCATTGACATATTGGAAATCTGTGAAACAATCAGCTGAAGAATATTCATTCATTCCATATGATATTGAATATAGATTTGTATATGGTAAGTCAAAGTTGATTTACTCATTGTAAATATTCATTCAAGTGTTTTAATTCATTAGTGGGATGATTTTCATTTGATGATTTGATATGAATTAGATTGGAGTAGTCTACGCTGAAAGTGAAATCATAAATCGATCCATGTTTGTCCTGGGAGCTGCTGCGTGACCTTGACCACTGAGTTGCGTTGAGTAACTGACATTCACACCATTGAATGCTTGTTCAATGGTGAAGAGATTAAGCTTTCGCGCACAAGACTGAAGGTCATGGACCAAAACGGCTGTCCAGTACTTTCAGATTTCTAATAATGGTCTAAAATTGATCGATTCTTGATTTCAATCTTCATAACCCTATAATGATAATTTAATGGTGTGTAACTTTGGTTTATTCTATTCGGAAATAAGGTAAGATTGAAGGATGAATATATTGTGAGCGGTATTAATGACTATAATATGTTAGACAGTTGAAAAAAACGACTGAAAATTCCTGGTACACATCTGACGTTGTTTTGAGATGTCCTTTTCAGGAGCTGAAGTGATTCTCCTTGTCAAATATGAACCCTTTATCAACTGTTTCCACAGGCATACTGTTGTGCTAATCCAGTCCTTAACACTGAGTGAATTTTCTTGTAAGCTAGGCCTTCCTCCAGATTACTAGGAATCATCGCTGGTAAGTAATAGTTAGCGAGATACTCAAGTCTAGTCACTGGAAAACAAGACATTCTGCATATGATGTCGGGTCATTTAAACTGGCGTGACCATAATGTTTTGATAGAATTCAATTACCAGTCATTAATTCCCCAGTCGTCTATAACTTTTTATCAGTAACAGTTCGCAATCTAAAAACTAATCAACCATACTATTCAGTAGTATATATTTTTTTCGGATTATTTTAATGTCAATGTCCTTTTCCTCTGCTGCTTTAAAAAAAAAACAGGTAATTGATTACGCTAATCATCCGACATATTTCCAAAGCACTGACAAATTGACTTAAATTCTCTCTTTGGAACACTGATTAATCGGTGAAAGCAAATAGTTTCTTTCTGTGTGAAGAAAGAATTGACAATCAAATGTCCATTTCATAAGTAGTAACTTTCATCAGTTTGTTAGGATTTCAATGGAGAATAAAGACATATATATATATATATATATATATATATATATATATATATATATATATATGTACATACATCTCATTAGTAATGATGCTTACTTACCTGCTTGCTGACTTACGCCTGTTACCCCCAATGAAGCATAGGCCACCGCCGACTAGCTTGATAATAATAATAAGAGGTATATATTAATTTTGAATTTGTCACTCTCTATAATTATTATGATTATTATTATCACACACAGTTGATTGATCAACCATGTCAATTCATTTCGTCAAAATCGCAAAAATATCTAAAATCAGATTATATGCGAAAATTAATGATGGCGGTATTGCTCAATGTCCGATTTTTTCTCTAACAAGACTGACAATTCGGAAAAAATTGAATTTTTTCCGTAGCGTAGATAAATAAATCACTGTTAGATTGTTTAATGATTCATATGAGTTTGATATGATTATATATCATGAAAACACCCTTACCTATAAACAATCTGAACTGAAGAATAAATCTAGTGATCAAGTTATCTTTATGAGAATTTTAAAAACCCTAAAGAGTGAGTCTGAATGTTAAGCGTTAGCTGGCGAAAGCGAATTTCCTGAGTACGTTTAACGCGAGCTAGGTTCAGGGATGCACACTGGTGAAGAGTCCAATACATTAGGACGAAACATCTATCCAATGCTCCTAGGTTCCTAATAGTGGTCCAATATGCGTTGATTCACGATTTTAGTCTACAAATATTCAAAAAAAGCCTCGATTGACTGTTTTTAAGTATTTTCAGTTAGAGCTTTGGAGATTTGTGTTTTTACACATTTGAAATCATTAATCAATCATTGTTAGACCACCATTAGAAACCTGGAAGCAATAGACGGCTGTTTCGTCCTGAGACTCATCAGCAATGCGCATCCACGACTCCTACTACTCTCAGGATTCTAACTTAGGACCTTCGGTCTTGCGCGTGAACACCTAACCTCTAGACCACTAAGCCATCATCCACTGCTGTTAATGTCTAACTCTGATCAATCTAAAGCTTTTGTGCAACCTCATCCATTTGTCTTTGGTAGTTACTGCCTACACCCGACAGGGTTGAACTCCATTGATCACATCTTCTCACTAGAACTCCGAGAATTTCCTCACGAAGCTACTCACTAGTGAGCACTGTTACGATATTTTCAGTTAGAGCTTTGGAGATTTGTGTTTTCACACATTTGAAATCATCGATCAATCATTGTTAGACCACCATTAGAAAGCTGGAAGCACTGAAAGACGGCCGTTTCGTCCTGGTATGGGACTCATTTTTAAGTAGTCAATTTGAATATCGTCCTTGAAATGTTGTCAGAGATAATTAAAAGTGAACAGATTCGAATTCTAGTATCAGAGATAATAAAAAACGGTTAAATATTAGCTGTGCAGAATCTTGACATTTTGATATCAGAGAATTCAAACAAAATGAAATCAGCTTCCTTATCCAACCGTCGTTTGTAAAATTCACTGCTTCACATTTTGTTTAGCATTTTCTATTCGAATATGTTACTTGTATCGAGATTTTATCATTTCAGATTTATGCAAGTCAAAGAATTAGTGAGTCTTATATGAGAGCACGCACTCCTAGCTAAGTGTCACTTAACTCATTTCTTCTAATTATATCGATCTTAAAACTAGTGTGTTTTTGATATGCTCATCAACTGATTTGCTTGAACTCTTACAAGTCCACTTTAGTCGGTAAACCGAGCGAAGACAATTGATGCAGTGACATGATAGACTATTCTTATACGTTATCTCCGGCCCGGTTAACTGTATCAAGAAGTCGTCATAAGGCATATAAAATGTATTCTACAAGCACCCAGAAAATACGAGGTCGACAAGCATACAAATAAAGCTTATTTATACCATGACAGAAACGTCTTTGGGAGAGCCACAAAAATAGCGTACTAAAATAATCCATCAACCAATGACAGTCAAGGATTTTCCGAGTGGGCAATGTAATCTCAAGATCAACTAAGCAGGTTATGCGCGAAAACATAAACGAAAATCCAAAACTAGGAACTTTTCCAAGTGAGTTCTGAGGATCTAACATCCTCAACAGTTTCATATATATACCTACTGAGATAGACAAAAACGCCGTCCAAATTCTACCACTCGAATGCATTTCAGTCTGATGTTCGTGATACGCAATAAGATCATATCTGAACTTTGATTTCATCTTCGATTGATGAATACATAAGTCAAGCTTTGTTCATTTTGCTTAGATTTAAGTCTTAGATTTTAAGTCTTATTAATATATTCTAGAAAAATTACTACACAAGATGTTGTGATCGACTGAACAATTGAACTAGAAAATTGAAAATATCCGTAGGTTGTTATTCATGCATAAAAATGACCTACTTGCACATATTTATTGACGTCAATTTTAATGATTTCTAAATGAACAAATATACATGCATAGATATGATCGGAAATACATCGTAGTGTTGAACAGCTAATCAATATTGGTATAGACGAAACAGTTGTATTCAAAGTCAATATTTTGTAGACAATATACGATTTGTATCCTGTTGACTTGGCTTCTTTTGGTGGTTGCTAAACTATTAATTTAAGTGATTTTTATTGTTGTTATTGATTTAGAAAGCTTAGTTTTAGTGCGAAAAGGCTACTAAAATGTGTATAGATCACAAAAATCAATCAGTTTTTGAATAGTCTGTAATACTGACTGAGTGTACAAACCAAAAAACTGATTTTCATAAGAAGTTGCTCTTAGAGGTCTCAAACTCCAGGTTGAACCCGAAAAAATAATGAAGAAATACTGAGAAGTGCGGCCCATGGTAGATTCATAAACCATTTGTCCCATCAGATACGTAGAGACCACCACTGGTTTAGAACCAGTTTTCTAACTCCCCTAGGTCACTTCTTCATGACTGATAACCCAATTTAAGCCTTGATCGGATTTTCGCTTTCCGCTATCTAATTTTCATAAGTACCAACCCCGTATTACGAGAAGATAGTGACTAGAACTCATCTGTCAGTGATCATATACCCTTGGCCATATTAAAATATTTTCAGCGGGAGTTCGAACTCTCTCCACAACGACTGTTGCAATTCGTTCTGACAATTGACTGAAAACTAAAGAGACAAAACTTACTTGACTTCGAGTAGTGTAACATACCAATATTCATAATATAATAAGTGATCCGTTAAGCCGGATATCCTCCGTCAGAGTCGTGGAGCCCACCACTGGTTTAGAATTACAGTTTTTCAACTCTCCTAGGTCACTTCTTCATGCCTAATAACCCGATTTAAGCCACGATCAGATTTTCGCGGTCTCAATTTCATAAATACCACCCCCTTTCACGAGATGATAGTGACCCTTGTCCATATGAGTATTTTCATCGGGAGATTGAACTCTCTCCACAACGACTATTACAATTTGTTCTGACAATTGACTGAAAACTAAAGAGACAAAACTTACTTGACTTCGAGTAGTGTAACACACCAACATTCATAATATTGTGTTGTGTGCTACTTATACGAACAATATAAGTAGTATAAGAAAGGACGTGAAAGAAGAAGTCGCACGGTCAGAAGAGGAAAACGGAAAGCAAATGGAGCAAAAGCAAGAAGTAAATGGAGTAGTACCAACAGGAAGTAAAGGAAGCAACAACAGGAATGGAAGAAGGATGGAGCGTTGGAAGTCACTACTCAAAGATGGTGTTCAAACAGAGTGTTCAATGTAATGTTTTTTTCGTTTTTAATTGACTCACAGAGTAAATTTGCATAATACAATCTTCCTCGCCTGCCTCAGTCTTCTCAATATAATTAAGTGATCCGTTAAGCCGGATATCCTCCTCTACTGGTTGAATAATTACTACAAAATAAAATGTAAAAAAATACGCTTAGGTTTATTTATGTATGTAATTCTCATTAATTTTTGTGATTATTTTATTCTCCGGAGGAAGAATTTAAAACTGAAATGTACTACTAGTAAAGAAAGCAAACAATTAATGATTTTATTATGAAATCATAAAAATAATGTCAATAAATATTTACAAGTAGGTCATTATGCATGAATAAAATAATTAACCTAAGGATATGTTGAATTCCACAATGTTCGCAAATTTTCTAGTTCAATTGTTCAATCGAATTATTTTGGATCACAACATCTTGTGTAGTAGTAATATTTTTGAGCGAAATGAATGAAACTTGACTTATGTGTTCACTAGCGGGAGATAAAATCAAGTTCAGATTTGATCGTACTGCGTTTCACGAATATGAGAGCATGAGAGCAGCCAGAATTTAGTGTTTTATCTCAAGAGGTATACATGAAAATGTTGAGGACGTTAGATCCCCGAAACTCACTTGAATAGGGTCTAATTTTGGATTTTTCATGTTTTCGTGTATAAGCTGCTTAGTTGACCTTGAAATTACTATTTCCACTCGAAAAATCCTCGACTGTCATTGGTTGATGGATTGTTTTAATACGCTATTTTCGTGGCTCTCCCAAGGACGTTTGTATGATTGTTTAAATAAGCTTGATTCGTATGCTTGCGACCTCGGATTTTCTGCGTGCTTGTAGAATATATTTTATGCGCTTTATGACAACTTCTTAATACAGTTAGCCGGACCGGAGACAACGAATAAGAATAGTCTATCGTGTCACTGCATCAATTGTCTTCGCTCTGTTTACTGAGTAAGGTGAATTTGTAATAGTTGAAGCATTTCAACTGATAAGTATATCAGAAACACACTAGTTTTAAGATCGATATATTAGGAGGAAGAATTAAGTGACACTTAGCTAGGAGTGCGTACTCTCATATAAGACTCACTAATAATTTGATTGGCATAAATCTGAAATGATGAAATTTCGATACAAGATATGTTCGAATGAGAAATGCTGAAAACATGTGAAGAAGTGACAACTCATGCATCAGTTGGATAAGGAAGCTGAAATCATTTTGTCAACATGTGGACATAAATAAGATTGAAAATCGTCGATTCTCGGCGCTTCGATCAATCAACAATTAACAAGTATACTAAAACAGCCTGAATTTATCTAGCGAACTAAAATTATTGCATAAAACTAGGCAGATGACAATATGGATAAATCTACATACAATAACTGAACAAATAAATGAGCAGTAATCAATTGAATCCCAGTTTAACAGAACAAGATATTAATTAGCTAGTGAAATTCGCTTAGTTCACCTTTGTCTGAAGTTTTGAATGATGAAATACTTATTTATTACTGTTACGCCTGCACGTAAACACGTCAACTTGATATGCTTGAACTATTATGAGTATACCCCTTAGTCGGAAAATGAGAGCGAGGATCGAGGATCCGGTGATACGACATGCTAATGAAATCCGATTATTCCAACCCCCATATTGAGTAAAAATAAAAAGACTTGATATGAAGTAGAACCTGTATTCTACAAGCATCCAGAAAGTACTAGGTCCGAGTCCAGAAGAGAATCAGGATCCCGGATTAGGGATCCGGGACCGGGTCGTGTTCCTGGTCATAAAACGTTACACATAATGCGTATTTATACATTTTGGTCGAATAGGAAACAGCATCGAAGTCTGTGACATTGACAGTTAAGACGACCAATAAGAAGCAACATTTGAAATGACATTGATAGTCAGGGCAACCAATACGCAACAACATTGGTGCAGGTGACATTGATATCTAGGACGACCATAAAATTGACCAGTAGGAATTCACCAATAGGAATTGACCAATAATTCTCTTAGCATATTGGATGAATATCCTAACAATTACTTCTCTTCCATTTGTAAGGGTTCCCATGCTAATATCAAATCATGACAATAAGATGATTATCTTTTGAATTAGTTCTATCGTACCAATTTTTACTATTTTTGTCATTTTTTTAAATTATTATAGATTATGGAGTGAATAAATCACATGGAACGCAAAATCACCCGCGTAAGTATTTATTTCTTATAATATATATATATATATATACATATATATATATATATAGGAATCCTTAGCGGTGCGCATCTACGACTCATGCTACTATCAGGATTTGAACCCCTGAAACACTGAGCTGGGATATGACGATGATAATGCCTAACTTTGATCAACCTACGGTCTTGTGCTACCTCATTCACAGTCTACCGTGAGAACTGTTTCACACCTGAACACGGTTGAACACCAGTGATCATGGCTTCTCACTAGAACTCGGAGAAACTTCCCCACGGAGCTGGTTGCTAGACAGCACATGATAATTTGCATGATAGGCTTGTGGAGATTATTGAGTTCCTTTTTAAAACCGTCAATCTATCAATGTTAGACCACAGTGAGAAACCTGAAAGCGTCGGATTGTCAGTTCGTCCAAGACCCAAGGTCCTGGTTTTGAACAATCCGAGTAGTCGGAGTCGTTTAGGCGCACTACCGATAAGTCTCATACACGGACAAAACATCAGTCCAGTGCTTCTAGGTTTCCAATGGTGATGTGACATTGATCAATTCATGATTCAAAAATGTGACTGAACAATCTTTACCACCTCATCAATGCAAGTTATTTCATTTTGTTTGAAACTACACATTCTAGTTACCTACTTTGAATATTTCATACTTCATGTGTTTTATTGTTCGTCTTGTTTTCTGTTTCTGTTTACCTTCTTCTGCCGTCGATCATTTTCATCATCAATACAATTCAATACAATACCATGCCATAATGCATAGACTGTAATTTCAGTTTTTACAGTTCGACATCAAAAACTGGTTATTTCACTACACCAAATTATCCTGGCTTATATCCAATTGATATTATCTGTGAATATCAGTTGATCGGTAGGCGAAATGAAATGATCAATTTAGAATTTTATAAATTCGATGTAGAAAGTAATTCGGTCAGGTAAGTTTGGATAGATTGGAAATATATGAATATTGTTGATCGTTAAAACCTTTCTAGCATACTTTGTGTTTGAAAGTATTCAACATCAACTTCTCATTTACTTTCTAATGTCTAGTATCAAAATGACAGTCGAGGTATGGGATAATTCTCAATCTAAATATTGGAATACGTACAGAAAATAAGGGTATTTATAAAATTATGGGTTTTTGAGATGATAGAGGATTTTTAGAAATCATAGTGAAAGTGTTCATTGCAATGACATTTCAATATACTGATATTATGATATACTGTAAAGACGAAACCAAAGGAAATATCGATTCGGGATGATGAACAAGTATCATCAGATTGGAAAGAAGGATACGTCATCAATATACCAAAGAAAGGCGATCTCAGAAAGTATGAGAACTACAGAGGTATCACTCTTCGCTCAATACCAGGCGAAGACTTCAACAGGGTATTGTTAAACAGAATGAAGGAATTCGTGGACGCCCAACTCCGAGATCAACAGGCTGGATTTCGTAAGAATCGATCGTGTACTGACCGAATTGCAACATTACGGATCATTGTGGAACAATCAATTGAATGGAACTTACCACTCTACATCAACTTCATCGACTACGAGAAAGGAAAACACTATGGAGGCTTCTTCGACACTACGGGTTGCATGAGAAAATAGTCAACATCAAACGGAAGTCTTATGATGGATTCAACTGCAAAATCGTACACGAAGGACAGCTAACATACTCGTTCGAGGTGAAGACCGATATCAGGCAAGGTTGCTTACTCTCACCCTTTCTCCTTCTCCTGGTCATCGACTGGATTATGAAGACGTCAGCATCTGGAGGGAAGCACGGTATTCCGTGCACAGCTAGGACGCAGATGGACTTCGCAGATGATCCAGCTCTTCTATCTCACACGACAACCAGTGTAGCAGCAGCCTCTGCAGCAGTAGGTCTCAACATACATAAAAGGAAAAGTAATATTCTACGGTACAACACAACACGCGTCAACCAAATCACTCTTGATGGAGAGGCCTTGGAGGACGTTGACACCTTTACATATCTTCACAGAATCTTTGACAATCAAGGTGGATCCAATTCAGATGTGAAGCCGCGGATCGGCAAATCAAGGGCTACATTTCTACAGTTGAAAAATATCTGGAACTCCAAACAACTTTCAACCAAAACCGAAATCAGAATTTTCAATACAAATGTCAAGACAGTTCTACTGTATGGAGCGGAAACTTGGAGAACTATAAAAGCCATCATCCACAAGATACAAGTGTTTATTAGCAGTTATCTACGCAAAATACTTCGGATTCCTTGGCCAGACACCATCAGCAACAACCTACTGTGGGAGAGAACAAACCAGATTCCAGTGGTGGAGGAAATCAGGAAGAAGCGTTTGAAGTGAATGGGACACACATTGCGAAAAGCACCGAACTACGTCACGAGACAAGCCCTCACATGGAACCCTCGAGGCAAAAGGAAAAGAGGAAGGCCAAGGAACACATTACTCCGAGAAATAGAGAAAGACATGAAAAGAATGAACAAAAACTGGAAAGAGCTAGAAACTGAAGCCCAGGACCGAGTTGGTTAGAGAAAACTGGTTGCTGGCCTATGCTCCATTGAGGGTAACAGGCGTAAGTAAGTAAGTAAGTAAATGAAATATCGATATATTTCGAGATGGCACAGTCCATTTAAGGAAAATATCTGTACTTGATTTTCGAACATCCATTTGCAATACAATACCTGTTACAGTCTTCAAAACTCACTGACCATATCATGCATTTCGGCCTTTTCAGACACTCCTCTCCGGGGTAGCAACTTCTGTACGATGCTCAGTTGTGTGTGTACTTTTATGTTGAGCCCACGGAGCTGGTCTCAAACCTTCGGACAAATTAACTAGTTCATTTTTCCCGAGTTACTATTCCGTCGTCTTTCGACCTTGTCTACTATTCACTTATATCTTCGCTTATTACATGTCTGGCTTATTTTGTCTGACTGTAAATTCTTAATCATGCTTTATCGCATAGAGTTGGCTCACTGGCGGTCTCCACTTTCCTTCGCTTAAAGGGAGTTTGCCTAAGTATGATTTAAGGAAACAGAAGGGAAGATTTATTTTATGGCATATTTAATAGTTCATAGTTAGATGTCAAGCTACTAATGTAGTGAGCCCTTCTTCAAGTTCAACGCAGCCACACTACTCATATGTCACCATTTGAGTAGTATCCATCATGATGCTGCTGCGTTTAAAACAAAAACAGTGGCTGATATTGCTCTTTGCCAAAGAGGAAAGGTAAAACTATGCATAAAGAGTCTATCATACATCAATCACAAATCCATGATATTGTTTTTAAACTTCCGGTTAAATGTCGAATTTGAGCAGCCTCAAACTGGCGGTGGCTAAAATTAACTCATCAAATAATAATGATGAAAACATAATTCATCGTCTTCTAGAATCATCTTAGAAGTTGCTAAAACAAATGCTAATTGTGACCAGTAATTTCTTATCATCTAAATGCTTTTTTGAAGCGCATTATTAAGAGCCTTTCATATTTAGATAGATTTCGAATAGATTAATGAGTGAATGGAATGGGTGAAGTGAAACTTCCAATCAATATGCTTGAACTGTTAATGGCAGATGTGTTTTTTTTAGTTTGAATTCTCAAGTGAATAACATTCATTGTTGGGCACGTTAGATCTCCAGAACTCACGTGATTAAGGTGCTAAATTTGTATTTTTTGTTTTCGCGCGCAGGCTGATCAGTTGACCATAAGATTACATTTCCCACCAATAAAATCCTTGACTACTATGGGCTGATGTATCATTTTAGTACTCTATTTTTGTGGCTATCCCAAGGAAGTGTCTGTCATGTATAAATAAACTCGATTTGTGTGTTTTAAAGCCATATATTTTCTGAATGCTTGTAGAATACACTGTAGTGAATGAGAACACAGGTGGGGCAACCGAATTGTATTTAGCGAAATTACAGAGTTACTCAGTAAATTCGGAAAACCATATCGTAAATCGTTACTTTGCAAAATATCAGTCCATCATATCGAACTGGACTGTTCCTGTTGCAAAACATCAATCCATTGTCACTATTCATGCGTTTCATACAAATTCCATTGTGTTCTAACTCTTCCTTTCTTGATCTTCTCCCATGTTCTGCTGCCAGACATTACGTTTACACTCACGTCATATACTACTTATAAGTAGCTCACACCACAACACTATCTACATCTTGTCAAGATTTTTTTCTCTACTTAGTGGGGCCTTGTGACGATCGAATTAGAGTAGCCAATAGTATAAACTGGATCATTTGTCTTCGCTCTGGTTTACAGACTTTGGTGAACTCGTAATAGTTTCAAGTATATCAGCTGACGAGCATAACATTTATATTCGATTAAATAAGTCTACATTTGTAGTGAACGAGAACACAGGTGAGGCAACCGAATTGTATTTAACGAAAAATACAGAGTTACTCAGTAAATTCGGAAAACCATATCGTAAATCGTTCATTTGCAAAATATCAGTTCATCATATCGAACTGGACTGTTCCTGTTGCAAAACATCAATCCATCGTCACTATTCATGCGTTTCATACAAATTCCATTGTTTTCTAACTCTTCCTTTCTTGATCTTCCCCCATCTTCTTCTGCCAGACATTACGTTTACACTCACGTCATATACTACTTATAAGTAGCTCACACCACACATTCACTAAAGATAGTGAATTCGGTACATGGATATTTGCTGTCAGCATAAATTGGATTCCTATTTTAAACTGAAAAACTGCATTATGCAAGTGATTTTCATCAGGGATAGGTGTATCAACTGAGATTCAACCGAAAACTAGAGAATGGTAAGAGCATAATTCCTTCTAGAATGGGACTCCTCAATTAAGGAGATTTATAACACTCCACGACTTTGAGCTTAATGCCTTTAAATCTTCCGCAGAGCAGCTATCGATTAGATTATTAGGTTGGTGTAATGAAAAATTCCAATGATCTCAAGCACTTCGTTAATCATAACATACAAACTGTCTAACGTAGCACTTAAAAAATTCACTCAAAATACATGCGGTGTGTTATCTTGATTCTGATTGGTTCACTCAAGGTCATCAGTACATCGATCAAGTTCATACACGGTGTAAACTATTTGATCGGTTTCTTTTCATTGAATTGGAATCTGGCTTATTATTGAATATTGATCTGACTATTGAAACTATTCAACCCCTATTTATTTATGTATTTAGATGTTCCACCGATGGTGACAGTGATTATGTGGAAATTCGTGCTTGTTCAACATTATCACTATTAGATTTAACACGACGTTATTATTGTCAAAAAATTCCATCGAATAGTACAATTTATGTACATTGGAGAAATTCATGTTTAATTATTAAATTTTTTTCTAATGGTTTAATTGTTCGACATGGATTTTTAGCAGTTTATACATTTTTAGATTCAAGTAAGTTTGTTTTTCATGAAAAATTTGTTTTAGTAAATTCAAATAATTGTTGTGGATTATATTATTATACTAGTTGACACTAGTCATTAAGAGGCTCAAAATCGTTCGCAATGGCGCCGGTGCATTTTTGCTTTGTGTTCTCTCAAATCCTAATCTTCTGGATTCTTCAACATCTCTAGTTTTGACTTTCTAAACTTTTCTCACTGAATCATTGAGAGTTCTTGTTAGGGATATAAAATCCAAAGAACTCATTTGATAAAGGCCTTCAGTTTGGATTTTATTTCCCACCAGGAAAATCCTTGGCTGTGATTGGTTGATGTGTTATTTTAGTGTGCTATTTTTGTGACTCTCCACTGGACGTTTCTATGATGTGTAAATAAACGTGATTTGTGTGATTGAGATCATTTTGTTTGCTAGGTGTTTGTAGAATACGCTTTTTACTCCAAAAAAAGATTTTTCCGTCAGTTAGTTTGGTGCAACGGATCAGAGTAACCTACCGTTTCACTGGTTCATTGTCTTGTTTTCGTTTATCGACTAAGGTGAACTCGTCATAGTTTCAAGCATATCAAGTGACCAGCTTAACAGTTCTAATTTATGGCTTGTACCTACACTAGTGTTTGTTCTGGGTGTCAGTATGGGCAACGTCCTCGTAACTTTCATCATGAGGCGTCGTAACTCTTTTAAATAGATTCCTTCTAACTGCCGCGACATAGTTTGAATGGTTTGAATTATCTGTTCTGGTTAGCGTCTTTTTGGGAAGTTAGTTTTTATTGGGTGCATTCTCTAAATTCATGCATAACCTTCCTCTTTTATACGTGCCTGAGAACTGCAATAACCCTAGAAGGGTTTCTGGTAGAGTTAATGCTGACTAGCATGAAATATAAATCCAGAGGTTCTTGCTGACAGTGTTTTAGCCGCTGAACGTTTAAAAAATAGTCTCTATAATGTCAAGTTACCCAAACTAGAGACCGTAATAAACTTAATTGAGAGGATTTCATCAGGATGAAGGATTATTTAAACCTGATATGTACTACGACTCAATAACCGATCAATAAACATTCATTACTTTACGTTTCAGTCATCTTTCCCTCTCCAAATTAAACTTATATATAGAAACAAAACTATTTCACTTCTACCTTAATTGTTCAAAAAGCCGTTGGAAGCCTTTGAAGGCTGTGCACTGTGGCTTCTTCATCTTCTATCGTTTCACTTCTAACAGTGTCCCTATAACCATTTTTCCGTTTCATGAATAAGAAGAAATTATGGGTGGTTAATTTTAGCGAGTAAGAAGTTTGGTTTTCTGCTTGCAGATCATCTCTGTGAAATGTCCAATAGAATAATTAGGTATAAGGTTTTGCAGATGGTGGAGTAAACCAGCAGTAAACCACCATCGAAAACCTTGAATTACTGGAAAATCGTTTCGTCCTTGTTTAGGGCTCATCAGCATCCATGACCTCACAAACAGGAATAGAAATTGGAACCCATAGTCTCACGCACGAACACTTAACCTCTTGACTACTGAGCTACGTACAGTGGTGATAGTGTCTAACTATAATCAGTTCAGGATTTTGTGAGACCATCATTCATTGTATCCGGTGGGTAACTAACTGCCTTACGTCTAAAACAGTTGAACTCTACTGGTCACGTCTTGTCACTTGTACTCCGAGAAATCCCTCACAAAGTTATTCACTAGTGAGTGCATGACAGGTGTCATGATATGGTTGTAGAGATTGTTGAGTTTCATAGAAATCATGAAATCGATCAGTTTTAGAACACCAGTGCTTTTAGATCGGCTCATATTTTCAACGAATGATTAGAAGTTAAGAGTTATACTTTCATAGACTAGTCATTGAATAAAAATGGACTACCGACATGAAATTTTAGTCAAACTAATCAATATTTAAGTACAATATGATTGATTACTTGTGTTTTTAGTTATTTTCATCACTAACAATATCAGTAAATTAGTTTGTGTAATCATAGAACACATCATGTATGAAGTTCCGTTCCAATTCATGCTCAAGAATTCCTTGATTACTTAAAATTTGATGCCTTAGTCATTCAATGTCAAATATTATTCGGTATTGAACTTTTGATGTTTTTGTGTATGTACTGTCTTTACACTGACCAGTATGCAAAGACGATCCTTGAGTTACTAACACACAACAAAGAAACTCGTCTCATTCATAGCTTGCCACAATCAAAGTGGATAAATAAAGACTAATAACCACTAGTTCAGTATTCTGTGACTACATATCAGGCATTCCTTCATATACATACAGATACAAACCCAGGCTACATCATCCAATGAATGGAAATTCACAACGACTCATGAAAAGTGAGACTATCCATAATAAACTGCTCACTGACTAGGAACAATAAGTTGGATGATGATAATTTATGGATTCATAGAAAGTGCATGCTGAATAGAATATAAAACAAATCTGATAATCTAATTAATTATTCATTAAACAATCAGACTACGTACACAACAACGATAATAATCATTCATAAATCAATTTTTCTCACTTACTATTTACTTGATTCTAACATACCAGTGTTGAAATGTAAGTAGATGTGAGAATGACGCTAAGTATCATCATGAAATTTTTATACGCATAAATCGATACACAAAACTAAAAATTATTTTTCTCTATGATAATTAGTTCATAATCAAGTATGGCTTTTTCATAGCTGAAAATACAAACTTATCTAAGCGCTCAATATTCGGCTGTTTCGTCCTAGTATGGAACTCTTCAACAGTGCGTATCGACGACCTCTGCACGTGGGAGTGGATTAGGTCACATAATATCGTGAATCGGTTGAAGTTAGATATGAACACTCAGTGGTCGTATGCGAGACCAAAGGTCTTCGGTTCGAATTCTGTGTGCGGATGTTGTGCATGCACACTGCTGATAATTTCTATACTAGGATGAAGTAGCTGTTATCAAATATTGATCTGACTAAAAACATCTAAGGTGACAACTGGTGGAACTGAAGAAGTACTGAATAGCTATTTCCTCATAGCACGAGACTCATTAGGAATGGGCACCTGCAACCTTATCAATGATCAAACTCAAGACATTTAGATCTTTAGATTTGAGTTTAAGCTTTCGACCGCCAAGCTGGCTAGTTTGCAAGTCCAATCTCAAATAATTCGCGATATTATGTATATGCATAAAACCTGTCTGACTAGGGACAGGTTATTGAATTGCCATTGATTGCTTAACGTAATTCAGAAATCGAATCACCTATGTATGTTGTAATCTTAAAGGAATCATTGTTAGACCACCAACCAGAAACCTGCAAGCACTAAAAGACGGCCATTTTGTCATGGTATGGGACTCATCAGCAGTGCACATACACAACTAACGCTACTCAGTCTTGCGCGCGAACGCTCCACCACTGAGCTGGTCATCATCCAACGGTGCTAATATCTAACTCTGATCAATCTAAGGATTTCGTTCAACCACACTCATTGTATTCGATAGTTACTGCCTACACCCGACAGGGTTAAACTCCACTGGTCACGTCTTCTCACTTGAACTTAGGGAATTTCCTCACGAAGCTAGTCACTAGTAAGCAGATTTCTGATTTTTGAAATAAGTTAATGATAAAGATCGTTGTTTTACATTGAAATCATGATTGATTTGTGGATGCACACTGTTAATGCGTCTCATACCACGAAGAAACGGACGTCTTTCAATGCTTCCATAGTTTCTAGTGTAAAACTACCATCTCGATATTTCTGTAATGCTGAAAACTACAGTAGTTGCTCATGTATGTGATTGTATGTATGTCTGTGTTGTAATACGGCTGCAGAATGATTGTTACATGCTAATTACAAAAAACGGAAAACAACTTGTATGGTTGATGCAGCGATGAAAAACATGACTGTAGGTAAAGATTTTATTTAACCATCAATCAATTATAAAAACAACATCAAAAATCATAATAAAATATACATTATTATCTTAAGTGTCCAATTATTCGGTGAATTTGAATAGTTTCCAAGTAGAGTTTATGGAGATAATTCTTTTTTACACATTTAAAATCATTAATCAATCATTGTTAGACCACCATCAGTAACCTAGAAGCACTGGAAGACTGTCGTTTCGTCCTGGTATGGGACTCGTCAGCCCAGTCGTCCAGAGGTTAGGCGTTGGCGCACAATACCGAAGGTCCCGCGTTCGAATCCTGTGAGGTGCAGGAGTCGTAGGCGCGCACTGCTGATGAGTCCCATACCAGGACGAAACAGCAGTCTTCCAATGCTTCCAGGTTTCGAATGGTGGTCTAACAATGATTAATTAATGACTTCAAATGTGTAAATTTGAATATACTGATTGAACAGCAGTTGGTATGAATAACTAAAAATCGATAAATTGAATGCTTTAACTGAAATGTGGAACTCATCACTGAATCGTACAATTATCCCTTTATTGATAGTCTATTATCTGTTCTTATATATCATGATATAAGTAGTAAATGCAGTCAGTCATTAATTTATGATTGTATATATATGTATATGTATTCTAACTCGGGTGCTTGTGAACCGAACATTCAAGATGTTGGTGAACTTCAAAAACATACTATTTTTTACAGACAATCACACAATACAATCCTGTTCAATAAACAGAAACCAAGTTTGATACCAACAAGCACAACGACTGATGTTGTGAAATAAATATGGCAACGCTCTAAAATTCAGCAGAGTGTATAGATGCGATCAATGAATTGACGATATAGTCAGAAAATAGGCTGATTCTTGTGAGTCAGTGTTTCACGTATTCTGAAAAATTATTGAGGAATTATGGGCGCCTTTATTTTCGACACAATCGAAAGTAGATCAATCTCCCTATAGTTGTTTCATAGATTAGGTAAGCAGTTCTAAATATAAGGACTGCTGGAACGTCATACTAGAAATTTAGAAAATTAACCGTTTCTAAAAAATTTTTAAAACTCTGTTTTCAGAAATTTAAAAAAAGTCTACTCTCATCGCT